GTCTCTCTTTTTAAGCCACTTCTTTTCCCACCTCCCACCTCCACCGGGTTTCAAATCATCCACAAAGTGTGCGTGCTGGTCTTTAAGGAGCTGCAAGTCCCTCCTGTGTTTGCTGCAGCAGACTAGCACAGCTTCTCCTTTGCAAAGGGTCTTAAATGCATTTTCCCCATGCAAACCCATGCCTGGAACTGGCCTTGGAAGTGGGAGGTGAGGGAAGGAAAGAAGGAAAGGAATGCTGCTAGTGAAGGAGGGGGGAATTTGCACTGGTGGAAGCAGGGGAAGGACCCCTCCGCTGTTGCATCTACTTGTACACCACCCTGAGAATCTGGCAATAAACTAGAATTGCAATGTCTTTCAAAATATTTTAAGTGCCCTTTCCAGTTGTTTTTCATGAGAAAATCTAGCTATTAGAGTGTGGATTTGCATATAATGTGTAGTTCACCTTTCACTTTTCCAGTACACACCAAATTTTTTTTTTCTTTTAAACTCAGAATGATCCTGCATTCAGATTAACCTTCCAGTGGTTTCTTTGGATGGGGTATCAGCAACTATAAAATGTTGAGATCTGTGCCCATATCCCTCCTTCCACCAAACTGTAGCACTTAAATCTACAAGGAAAATCTCTTGCCACCACCGTCTGGGCAACCAAAGCAGAGTCCAGCGAAAACTGCCTGGCTGAGAGAGGGATGAGCTCAGCTCACTCCTTTAAGCGCCAGCTTTTCAGTAGCTAGACAGAATGCTCCCAGCCCTCGCCTGAAAGACTTAAGAGCATTTTCCCCTCAGTGAATCCTATCAGTGTCTGTTTGTCTGAAAGCACTCAGAACTGTTAAGGAGAGAGGCAATTTTAAATCGAAAGGTGTGCTCTAGCCATTGTAGGTTCTAGTTCAAATTAAAGATACTGGATCACAAATGGAAACCTGTTTAAGCATCACTTGTTAAGCATGCCACATGCTCACAACAACACCCTTATAATCTGTTAATTAATCCATGGTAATCACCACATCCCCCCACCCCATTCATCTCTACCCAGAATCACGAACTGCATTCTGGAATCAACAGTTCATTCATAAATACAAGCATGCATTCACTGTATCTCTTTGACTGCTCCTTTTGAAAAGCATCAATGATCAGTCATCCATGTGCATGGAAGGCTTATTATTCATCAGCGGCGCTTTCTTGCGAGTAAACAGGGTTAGGATTCTGGCTGCCTCGGTTGCACCCGTGACAAGTCTGCACACACACACCCGCGATCGGGCAACCTCTTGCGGTGGGCTCCCTTCACACAGCCGCACCCACTGATCCCTGCCTCATCTACCCCCCAGCATCCGATGCCCGTTCCCAGGGTCCGCTCTTCAAGGAGACCGGGGTGCGGGGAGGGGGAGGAAGAAGAGGACTCTCCGGTCTTTGCCTCCCCAGCTCGGATCCTGCTCTACCCAGGAGTCCGCATTACACACACCCACTCACCCACCCAGCCTCCACGGGCAGAGCGCGCGCCGGCTTACCATGGCGCAGAGCGGCGGACGCACAGACGGGACGGGCTCGCCTGATCCTCCGCTGCGGCTGCCGCTTCAATCGCGGCCGCCTCCAGACTCCGCTCGGCGACGCCCCCCGCCCCGGCCGGCTAGCCCGGCCTGGAGCCACCCCCTGGCAGAAATCCCGGCCCCCGACGCCGCGGCTGCCTGCAGCTGCAGTCCCTGCCGGAGCCCGGCCAAGGGCACGTGGAGACGCGACTGCGGCAGCGCCGAGCCGGAGGGGAGGGGAGGCGAGGGGAGGAGCGGGGAGAAGCCGGCCTCGGCCCTCGTCCGCGCCTGCGGGTGCCCTTGAGACGCGAGCCGCCAGCCCCTCGAGCAGCGCCGCGGCTCGGTTCGGGGGCGCAGCTCAGGGCTGCTCGGCCCAAGCTGCTGCTTGCTAGCCTCAGGGCTCAGTCGAGCGCGGAAGGTGCCGCCGAGCTCGTGCAGAGTGCATTTTCTCTAGCCCGGAGTAAACTGCGCCCCACTTGCGCCCATCATTGCGCTGCCTGGCAAAGCGCCTGCGCCCGCCACCCCGGGCGGCCCCCCTCTCCTGCGTCTAAGCCGAGGGCTTTATTGTCTCTCCCTTGCAACGGCGAGAAATGGTTTAAAACTGCTGCTCTCTCAGGCTGAGCGAGTTTAGGAAATGCAACCTCGCGAGCTCCTAGGTGGTGCTCGAATTACAGGGAGCGGGGGCTGCCCTTTTCTTTCGCTTCTGTTTTTAGAAGACTGGATGGCATGATTTGTCTGAAACTGGGAGGAGAACCGAGTGGGGCGTGTGGGTTTCATTACGAGCCTTCCTACCCCTCCCCGCCATAATTCAAGCATTGCTTGTACGGGTTAATTTAAGCCAGATGCGAGGTGGAAAAGCCAGAGGCAGCAACGTGAAAGAGCACGGTTCCTGCACCTTTGATGGCTGCGTGGAAAAGGGAGTTTCAGCAGGTGTAGTTTGTCGTGGGAGCTACACCTGTTGATATTCCATCTTCTTAAAGGAACAGAAGCCCTCTCCTAGTATAGCCATTGTTTAACATATTAGGCACCTTTTTAAGTATCTTACCGATGAGGATTAAACACGCAGGGATTTAGAACAGTTAACAACAACAAAATGTCAGGAGCTGTTAAAACAGTAACATTAAAAGCCCCATTGTGCCATCAAATGCCTATTTTGCATTTGTTCTCCACCACCTCCAGTGCACGGTCCTGGGGCATTTTAAAGTGTCATGATCAAACCAGAGTGCAGTAGAGAGAAAGGGCCTTTGAACATGTGCAGAGTGCCATTTTGAGTAACCACAACTACTCTCATGCTTGTAGGCATCTGAGATCAGGGCTTCTGGAGTATGCTTTCCAGAGACAGTTTAGCTCTTGTTTCTCATTTAGAAATGAAACACTGGCCTTAGAGCATGAACTGTAAACAGCCCTAGCTTTGATGGAAACCTACAAGTGATTACTATGTCATGCCCCACATTCATCAGTCTAGAAGAGCTACTATTCTCTGGTTCCAGATTCAATGCCAGCACTCATCAAAACACCAGAAGAGCCTTGCTAGAGCAGACCAAGGGCCCTTTAGCCCCATATTCTGTTTCCACCTGTTCCCAGCAGCCATATGCCAGAATGGAATGGAGGCGACCATCCTCTCTTGTTTGTCAGTGTATACCTTAAGGTAGACTGCTTCTAAAGATGGAGGCTCCATTTTATTAACATGGCAAATAGCTGATTTTTTTACTCATGCTGATAAATTCACCTATTAACCTGCTTTGAATATGTGTGTATATGTGTGTTTTATTTGCACCCTCCTCCTCTCCTGTGTATTTTCTCAACAACCCTGTGAGAAAATACAGGGTTTGACTGAGAGTCAGTGATTGGCCCAAAGTTACCCAGTGAGCTGCATGGCCAAGTGAGGACTGCAGCTCGGGTCTCCCCAGCCCTACACTTTAACCCTGGGGCCACCACCCTGGTGCCCCTGTTTACCCAAGTGCTCACAGGCATCCTTGAAGACCACCCTTGTTTTCCTGATTTTATTCTTAACCATTTTTAATTACTTTTTAACTGGGAGGTTGGCATGCTGCAAAATGAACTATTAACTTTCAGTGCCATCTTCATTTTGGTTGTCAATTGTTTTTGTGTTTTGGAGCTCAGCCCTACCTCTGCTTTTTATTTTGGTCCGTGAACAAGTTACTTTTCTTTTAGTCTCATAAATTTGCCTTTTAGGAAATGAATGTTTCAGGCCTGGCAGCCATTTTATGTGAATGCCCCTGACATGCTCTCAAAATGTCAAATTGGCCTATTGAGCCCAGAACTGGGGGGTGTGGGGGAAGTGGTTCTAACCACTACACCACACTATTTCTATATGTGTTTATGTTCATTCTTCTACACCAGTTTTTAACCTTTTTAGCCACCCATTCTGTTCATACAACATATGCATAGGCATAACTCTCTTGCCAAGGCATAACTCTAAGGATGTTAAACAGAAGGGCAGGACTATGAATTCCAAGTGGGTTTTGTCCCCAGTTTCTAGAAATTAAAAGGCAGGCCACAAACATACACACACAGACCGCCATTGTATCCACCATATTCCATATGCCAAAGAAGGGGAGGGCTACTTTTTTCAAAAGTTTTCCTTTCAGTCTCTGTTTAGATTCCAGGAAAAAGTAGAAGCAAAAAAAACCCAAACCAAAACTTTCCAGGCTTTCTGGTTCCAGCTGAGCTAAGCTTGAAAGAAAAGAAAGAGGATAGGGCGGGATGGGGATTTTTATACCTAAAAAGCTGGCAACTGGGGGAAAAGTCAAATGACTCTGCTTTGATCAGATTCCAGATTTGCAGCCAGAAGAACAAATAAGATTAATCAGTCCATTTTTCTTTTTTAAGGAAAATAAAATATAGTCAGGGAACACAGTTCATTAGCTCAAGCTAACATTCTATCATCCCCATCAGTTCCTCTTGCCCGAGTCTCCAAGGTCCCTTTGCTTATCTTCTCCTTCCCTGCCCGTGGCATGCACCCCTCCTCACCCAGGCCTTGTGTGCAATATGAGCAGAGTTTCCCTTTCTCACTGGCTCCTCTCCTTCATCTGCAACTGCCCCGCATCTCCATTCCTTTCAGACCTCAGCCTTTCACAGCAACCCTTCCCTCAGGTTAAGGTCATGAAGTATAGAAGAAGCCCCTTCCCACTAGCACACTCACATACCTGATCATCAAACTCTCGAGTCTCCTGCACAATCACTGCTGTGAACAATTGGCCAATAGCTTTGTGTAATTATCTTGTTTTAAAATTTTGCTTTCCTTTTTGTCCCCTGAGAGGAATAGTTCAACTTGTTTACAATAAATGTTGGATGTCTTTGGATTCATATTTTTTCTTGCTGTTCAAGGCTTGCTTTTACATTTTTAAAAAAGTATTTGGATCTTGATATCCTGCTTCCTTCTACCCTGGTATTCACAGCAACCTATCCAGGTTCCCATGGGATCCCTTGTCCAGGCAGTGGCTTGCTTATAATTTTATTCTTATTTGTAGCACATATATACCACTAAGTACAATAAGTGGTTTGCATATAAATATTAAGATTACATTTAAAATACTGTTTTAAAAACCGTTCCATACAGGAGCAGCCTGAAGCATAGTTTGCTGAAGCTTAGCTTTCGTGCAAGTGGTATAGCCAAGCCCGTACCTGGGCCTGGATGCAGCTTGGGACTTCACACAGTGTGTCATTGACTTCCATGTGTCTTGCAGCTCAAGGTGCCTTTGCACGCAGCCCCCTAATTCTGAGGGTATACAAATTGCTTCTCCTCTCTTCTTCGAGTGACTACAGAAGTAATCCCCCACAAATGTAGGATTAGGGAGGCAGTCTTCCTGACTGGACACAGGATATAATGAAAGCTGGTGGCTTTTAGCTCAGAACTTAAGGCTCTCCAGTATAGTTTGCTCCCATGCGTAGATTCCTTTCAAGCCCTGCATCTTCTCCTGGTAAACCCTGTCAAAGTATTCTGACTGTGCCACAGTGAAGTGAGTCTTCCAGTCACCGCAGATGCCTAAAAAATGAAAGCACAAAACCACTTTACTCAATGAGAACAATCTCAGTCCATGAAAGCCTAAATCTGAGCTCTTTGGGGACCTCCCAGAGCATCCAATACAGAGTAGTTTTTGTTTACAATTAGTTCTGTTAGTCTGTATGTTAAAAGGTGGTGCCCATTTTTTAATGCAGGAACTAAGCTTGATAGAGAGCCTCAAAGCACTTTGCAAGGCAGCTCCTCTGCAAGCCAAAGAAAATAGGTTTTGTAGAATCAGAGGTGAGGGTGTCTTTCATTGCCACTGAAATGGTTTAATGAAGGGAAAACTTGCTCAAAGGCAAAGTCAGGAAGTCAAAGGCCAAAGCAGAAGGAAAGCCACGAGTGTCCCAAACAAGGTTTCTTACAGAGCTGGCAGGTTGGAGACTTATTCAGATGCCCCCATTTTGCTTTGCACCCTGCCCAGGAGCTGGCTGAAACTGCCGACCTTTCCAATATTGGGTGCCCCTGCCTGTCTTTCCTACTGCTTGTCTCAGGCATTTGAGGAAACTATTACATGACTCTTATTCACCACAGTGGAACCTGGTCCCTAATCAGCCTCTGGTGGATGGTCTGAGCTAGTGGCCTTGGCATGCATCGATACACGTGCTTTCCAGTGAAGCATCCCTGGGCTTGTTGACATGAAGATAATTCTGCTGTGTTGCAACATCCCATTGCTGTCCTCCATCCTTCACAGCTGATTGTACAAGGCTTTGCAAAAGCGTTGCACAGCCGGTGCATATACTCTGCTATGAATTCTGCCACTAGTGCAATCGGTTAGATATTTGACACTGTGTGACTTGATGAATCGCTTCTTCACCTTCTCCAAAGGTAAAGGAAACCCATCAGACTCACCCTTCCTTAGGAAAGTGCCCTTCTCTTGGTCCATTAGCTCCTTGGGAAGCATGGTTGAGTTGCACATTCTGTTCTTCTGCATGGCTTCAAAAGAGGCATTTTCCACCACTGAGCTGATGGCTGTCCCATCCAGTTCCCTTCCCAGGAAATGGCAGAGGCGCTCCACACAGCCATGCAGGTCCTGTGGAGATAGTGGAAAGCAGAGACCAGTAGTGAGGCAACGAAAGCTAGGGCAGCCACATTCTCTGAAGCCTATCTTCAGTCTTATGGGCTGGAAGCTTGAGGAGGATTTTGAAAGGAACTCATGAGATTTCCCAGGATGATGAGTTCTGCATGCAGTACTAAATTCTGTTTAGGGTGCTTGTGGGATTCTAGAATAAACAGTCTTGTTTATTCTGAGTACAGCCAGAGTGCCAATGCCCAAAGTAACCCCAAATCCTCCTGTTATCATGCACCAGTATCTTGGTTTTCACAGAATTCATAACTGGTACAAAAGAAGTAGCTTTACAAAACTTCACAATACATTTTATTTATTTATTTATTTATTTATTTATTTATTTATTTATTAAAACATTTTTATGCCACCCCATTCAGCCTCGGGGCGGCTCACATCATTAAGTTAAAATAATTATAATATAAATTAAAAATATAAATATTAAATTAAAATACAACAATACAGTATAAAATAAGCCGCCCTGGCCAGATAAAACCAATAATGTTAACAGTTAAAATGCCGCTTGAATAAAAAGGTCT